AAATAGAATGTGAACATTGCCAAACATGGAAAAATAAAGTTCAGTCTTAGTTTTATTAAAGAAAAGAAATCCAGAAACTTGTTCACAGAGATGAAAATATATAATTTAGTGAGAGTTTAATACTCTTCACTGTTAGTGGCTGCAGTGAGCCTGTTTCTGACTACATGGTCTGCGGCTGCAGGGGAGACGGGCACACCTGATCACGCCTATCACGCCAATCCCCAATCATGCCTCGCTGGCTTAAAACTGAATGAACTGGGTCCTGTTGTTGTTGATGTGTGTAGGCTGTAGCACAAAAGCTGCAGCCCAGTGTGTTAGTGGACAGCTGCAATAAGAAGTATACTGAAAATGTGAACACGTGGTCGGGTCTCTCGTGACCCAGTCCTGGTTTTCGGCACCGCTGTAAACGATGCACGACAGACCCGACCACGTGTTCACACTTTTCAGTGCACTTCTTATTGCGGCTGTTGACTTGGACACACGGCTGCAGCTTTCAGCGGATGTGCATATTATTAATCGTAATTAATTATAAATGTCTTTGTTCTGCCGTAAAAGTTAGTTCAGCACGACTTTTCTGCCAGGTAACTTGTGCCTCACCTGTCAGAACTGAGAACCGCAGAGACAGTTTGAACAGTTCAGTGGTCATGCTGTCTTAATAACACAGAGTGTCATATAGTGGGGCTGGAGCCGTTTTCAGCTGTCAGTAGGTGAACAGTGAGCCATAGCCTGGACACTGAACACCTGATTTGCATTTGGTTATTCCCATTCCAGTAACAGCAAGTTAAAGATCAAGAGAAAAAAAAGTACATTTACCCCGCTTTAACCCCCTAACAGCAAGGGTCCCATTAACGTTGTTATGGAAAATGTCACATCAGCACCAGCAGTGGATTTTTTTGGGGGGCTAGTCATTGTAAGGAGGCTAATGCTATATTCATATATACCTCTCGACAGAGGTTGCAGTTATTCTGTGTAGTCGGCCACACTTGTACAAAGATGACAAACGATACAGCTATACAGCTAACTAGCGACATGTAGTGATTTGAGTGATTATTTTATTTTACTAAGCTTCAAATGACAAAAAGCTAACTTAGCATGTGAGCACTGTCAAGTTTTAAAGTTAAACCAGTAGTTGTTTTTATAAGCAAATATTAGCATTAGCAGCTTATATCTCATCTGTGTAGAGTAAACACTGAGTTCAGGGTCATCAATCAACCATCATTACTCTCATCATGCACACATTTATTTATTTACGTGTTCGTCTTTGTAAACCAGCAAGGTTTCTTTCCAGGAGCAGGTGCTTAGAGCATCGTTTGCCATCCCATTCAATAAAATAACCATTCATGTGGAAGCTCCATCTATTCTATCCTTGTGTTAGCCTGCGTTAGCCTGCCGCCCCATCTGAGAGTACAATGTAGAAGTCTCTAAAAC